TGCACAGACTGAGCCACGATGGCCAGTCTGGGGGGGTGTGTTGAACAGGTGCTGGGGTCTCACGTGCAGGCAGGGATACTTTAAGATTACAGCCGAAATGGTAAAACCTCTAAGGGGTAGATTTCAACAGAACACAACATGAATACACCAATTCACATCAATGAACCGAATACACGTAATGTCTGACACTTTCACGCATTCAAAAATTGCGTACGCACGCATAATACAGCCAAATTCAGACAAAATAATTGCTTACTAGGTAAATTTAGGTACCGAAGTGTCTCCACTCTGGATTTTATAAAGAGAATGTTGTTTTGAAGCGGAAGGTGGAGGTGTTCAGCACTGTATTTGGACGTGGTACGATCCCGACCTGTATCATATGATAGGCCGCTTAGGCGTCATGACCAGGCCGCTGTGTACCACGATGTCTTCCGCTGGCTATCTGGGACAGACATCATGTCGTATTACAAGTCGTTGCGAATCTATCAGCCCCCCTCAACCCGACATGTTTTCCCAGAGCTTCGCGGAGAACTGCTCCAAAGTAGGACACAACGTGCTCACACTGTAGCAACAGCATTTTCACGGTATCCTCTTTTCAATTTCATATCCGAGAGAATTAGCACACCACAGAAAAGGCAGAGTGCGCCGCTTGAGGAGATTATATAGAGAAGAGAAGAGATGGCTTGAGTTGTCGCATCCGCCCAATATGCAGTTATGTTCGTCTCAGCGCCCTCCCAGACGGTAGGGGAAACGCCAGCGAGAGCCTCGCGAATGGTCTTATCATCGTAATGAAACGCTTCAAGAGTAGAAGGAAGCAGAGCCATGCCGCGATTTTCATAGATCGCGCCTGCCATGATCAATGCAGTGGAAATACCGCCCATCAAGCTCATGTTCAAAAGGGCAGCACTCTCGACTCGATCGCGCAGAGTTTTGTTGATCGTGTTAGAAATCGCGTTGCCATGCTGAAATTGGAAGCCAAGTCCTATACCGATTAGGGCGGTGAGGCCCATAACCTTACTTTCTGAGACCTCAGAGTCCAGGATTATGGCGAGGGCAGTTCCCGACGCCAGTGTCGTAGCACCGCCGACAACATAGATCACGCCATACTGTTTGATCTTGGACAGAAAAGCGCCAACAATCAACACTGTGACAATGAAGGTGAGAATGAAAGGCAGCATGCGAATGGTTTGTTGTAACGCTCCGTGGCCCTTTGAAAAAGCGTAAAACAGTGGCAGATAATAAAGTGTGACAGCATAAGTCGCACCTGCACACCCTGACACGATCCAAAGAGGGAGGATGTTCCGCCGGCCCATAAGTTCAATGGGGATCACCCGAAGATCAGGTACGCTTTTGAAACTTGTATTGAGACGGTCTTTGATGGCGGCAGTAAAACGAGTACAATGTAGAGTTCCGCAGAGGACAAAGACAGCAGCAAAAACAGCCCATGTTGTGTAACAAGGCACTGAGCTCCAACTCCACACGGGGCCAGAAAAAGTAGCCGCAATAGCAAAGAGAACAATTGTGGCTACCGTGGTGCTTGTTTGAAGAATGATATCTAAACCAGCGAATTTGGCAATGCGATGACGCAAAGGGAGATCGAAATGGCTTCGTCTGCGTGGCAAAAAGACTACTGCACAAACGAAGGCAAAGCCAAGGAAAGGCAAGTTGATGTAGAAGGCCCAGCGCCAAGTCACCTTTTCAGCCAGAGCGCTCCCGACAGGTCCGCCTACGACAAGGCCAACTGCCCATAGTGAGCTCAGAAGGCCGTAAAGAAATGGACCTTGGCTATCCGAAGCATACATAGAAAAGTATGATATCGCGCTACATTTGCATGAAATTAGCATACAAGCATATTGAGTTGGCAGTGGCGTCTCAGTGGCTGAGCATATAGATTATGTATCTTTCCATAGGAAGATCAAGCGGTCTGGGAGCTAAGATCACACTCACCAGTTCTGGCATATTGATCCCCCTATTCCCATTACCGCTCGGCCGGCGATGATAGCCGAAATAGTCTTTGCTGAGCCCGCTAGCGCCGCCCCGGCCGCGAAAACCACGATGCTTGCCAAGTAAATGTGACGTACGTCGAAGATATCCAGTATTCGACCTGCAAAGGAGAGGGTGGCGAAGTTCGCGAGAGAGTAAGACAGCCCAATCCATGGAAGATACTCGATGTGGCCAAAGGCGACATAAAGCTGTGGCTGGATATTCGCAACGTTGCTTACATCGAATCCTTGCATAATCGAGGTTAGTGTGTTATGTCATTATAATCCAGAGTAGAATCCGGCGACGGACCGTTGATGATGCAAGTCATGTATATTGTAAGAATCGTTCCCTTCCATTTCCAATTTTCGAGAATCCTCTGGCTGCTCGGAAATCGTACAACCGAGGAAGGGGGTGAACTTGGGGGATGGCTTGACATCTTGTTTGTCTGCGTATCTCGATGGCGCTCAATGGCTTGTTCTGACCGATCTAGATCCTCGGATAAAATGTCTTTGGAGGGCACGCTATATAGTGAATAGTGGCATCAAAAAGGCGGAGCCGAGGCAAGTGTAGCTTTGATGTCCAGCGTAACAGAGTGGAACTCTATCTCACATGCTTGTGTAATGTAAAATCGGGCCCTGTAAGTACGTCTCAGATCTTTAGTAAGTAAGAACTCTTAGTACATGAATCCGGCAGGACTTTGCCGGAATGTTCCGTCGATAAACATGTCAGGTTTCACGAGCCACAATCACTGTTCCATCCTACACACCACCACCAAACTCCATACATTTCAAGGGTGCATTGGCTGCCGTTCCCCCAAATGTATAAGCAGTAAGCAATACTTTATCAATATTTCATCGACATTTCTTTACACAACAAGAAATTGAACTGAATGTGAGCTAGTCTTAATGTTGAAGCATTGTTGGTTAATGGTCATCCTTGTGTCATACCGGAAGCAGATTTTATCAACTAGATTGTATTGGTGCTTGAGCAACGGCTTGACCACTAACCTAAGGTTAAATCATGTGACAGAGAGACTAGAGAAAGAATTTGCGAAGGCAATGTGCGGCTATAAGAACAAAAAGGAACATTGGTTATTCGTACATCGTTTTCCCCACAACACCAAACCCCCAAGTAAATAATTATGTATCTCCCCCACGCAATGATCGTGACGTTTCAGTGATAGTATAGCCGTGTCTTATGCCACCTTTGGTGGTTCAGGAAAACCTTTGTTGAGAAT